ATTTTCAGTTATGGCCATTTGAAAAATGGGCCAATATCTGAACCATGGTTTTTTTTCCAAAAATAGCTTCGAAATCACCCCCAATTTTTACTGCATTGATGTTTTGCTATGTACATGTACATCAAACCATTCCAAGCAGAGAGCAGTGAGACTGTTTTACTCCTCTTTATTACAGGAGGTATCAATCATAAAGAACCTGGTAGCTAGTATTGGCAGAGGTGGTGGAGAGGGTTACTCCAGTTCTCAGGTACGGCCACCTCCTCACAGGAAATGCTACCCTCCTCCTCCCACCTCTCAACCACAACCAACCATATTTGTAAGTACATGAATACACCATATTTGCCTGACTAGAAGCCCATCCCATCCTTAGAATATTCTTGCTTTAGATGCACATTTTAAACCAATTTACATGTAGGTAACCTTGACTTTAGATTGCTCCAAATAGTTTAACTCTTGAAGCACAGTCTGAAGACCTAGATGACACCTTTGGCAGATTTTTTTTATTTTTATGCAATTTTTCTCCCTGTTAATGAATAAACGCCCAGGCTTCTAATCAGACAAATACGGTATACCAAGTGTACTGTAAATTATGTACTCTTGGGTATACCTATTTCATATAACACCTTTAAATGCTGTTAGCTTCACATCGCTATTACATATACATGTACATGTTTATAGTTAAAGCAGGTTTACAGTCCTGACCCTACGTTGATGCTAGAATAGAACTTGGTTCTAATTTAGTGTCAAAAGGTCAAGCCACCCACGCTTTTGATTAAAAATTGACAGTATGCCGGCCTAGCATCATAATTATTGTAAATTAGGCTTAATGTGTAAATATGTGTTTGTTTTTAAAAGCTTATTTTGTTTTTAACAGACAGTATACTGTGTACTATTATATAGCAGCATGAGTGTTTATTTGCACTAAACATAAACAATTTCGTGATTACAGTGAAACCTGCTATTGCAGACACTCTAAAATAAGGACACCTCTATAATCAGGACAGGTAGTATCAGTCCCAATACAATGTGTATTAAGGAGCCTCTGAAATAAAGACACCTCTATAATAAGGACAGTTTTATTTGGTCCCAAGGTGTCCGGAATAGACAGGTTTGACTGTATATGTATACAATGTATATTTGCATTATCCATGTAGTGTGTATCAAGCTAGTACACGTGTATTTTAATTATTATTCTGTACGTGACTACTTGCATTAGTTCTGTCTTCTCTTATCATGATTATACTCATGTCACTACTCAATAGTTTATACATGATGAATACAATCCATACTCCATCCTCTGCTGTTGAGGGAATTGTTGTATTAATGATTCTAAAAATATACTCAGACTCTCTTTCTTTATATAGACACGCCCTGATCCATTAGCAGGGATAAACATCAAAAATAAAGAAAATCACAGACGATGATTATAATGACTGCTGTGACCACACCCATCAATAAAAGCTGATGCAATATTTGAAGGAATTTTATTTTCATTCATTTATTTTTTATTTCACTAAAAAAAATACCACAACATAAAAACAATAATTCAAAATAGCACATAATAATAAAATAATAATAGCACATAATAATAATAATAAATTAATAATAATAATAATAAATGATAATATTTATAATATATTAAATAATATAAGGTGCGTTATATGGTACAGAATGATTGTATAATAAGAGAAAAAAAGCGTAAATAATAATAATTTTTTAAAAATCATAAACTATATAGCTGTGCCTATATAAATCTGTTGCAGCTGATAATAATAATAATATATGGCAGAGTTATGAAGCATTAATAATAATAGCAATAATAATAATAATAATAATAATAGCAATAATAATAATAATAATAATAATACATAATATCCTGTAGAACCTGCATTAAAGAAGTGTACGTATGTGTATATGTAGCTTATGCTGATAAATGGTGATAGAATATTATGAATGAGCATGTATGTATTATGTATAACGTGACCTTAATATATCATGTCCAATATAAAGTGAGTATACATACATGTACAAGACCAGCTCATGTACATGTATAATTGTAATATTTATTCTTTCTAACTCTTATCTCTGAGAGGCGTGAAGTCAATCCTTGACGAGACAACAGTCACTTTGTGAGGTGTGAGGTGTGAGGAGCTCTTGCTTGAGAAGGCACAACTTATCAGCTTCAAACAACACAGCCATTATAAGAGTGAACACTATGACACTGTTAAGAGGTAGTGAGAGAGAGTGAGGGTTTAAATGCATACTTGTATGACAAGAGCACTTTTGTTATCAAGAGCAAACGTGTGCTATTGTCTTCACTAAGTCCCGAAGTTACCACA